GTTGTCAACCACTTCATGTTCAATTAAAACTATAGCCAGACTAGACAAACGTTTTTGGTCCGTAGTTGATCTCATAGTTTTTTAGAAGCTTAAGTTTACTGAAACTTTTTTCACACGTAGCAACTGTGAATGGTACGGTGAGGAAAATGTGAATAGTAATTGCCGTGTTAGAATAAGCATCAGTCAATGAATATTTATAAATGAGCTGCAAAATGTCAATTGGGCTAGATTTTCCAAAGTTGTCCATCATTGCAGCAGTTTGATGTTTAAAACTTGTCATTTCTGACTGAAAATCAGAAGAACCTAAATCTGCCATGTAAATCTGAGATATGTTTTTGGCCTTTGTCTTAAGTTCATCCACTGAACTTTTAGACAGTGGACGCCCACAAAGGAAGTCAAAGTTTGTTTGTTGAAATCGCCATTGAATTTGTGTAACAATGCTGTCAAACACAAGATTGCATTGTGATCTGAATTTTGTTTCTGCTGTGAGTAGTTGAAAGTTGTCTTCAGCTTCATAAAGGGCCGTCCTCTTTACTTTGTGCTTTCTCTTGACTGAAAAATCACCTTCAATTCCATTATGTTTGGCTGTTTCTGCGGCATCTTTGATAATTTTGACCACACCAAAATCTCTTAAATTATAAATGGAAGCCTTCAATCCTTTTATTTTTTAGCTGCGATGTCAATTGAAACATTTTTATACTGAAACAATTTGTTTTCCCAGTTAATTGATTTCAGTTTTTTGTGTTTGTTGGAATTTCCCGAAATTCCAACAAACACAAAAAACTGAAATCAATTAGAATGATAAGATTTTTTGCACTGCATATTGTGACATCATTTTTCAAAGGATTGTGGATAATAAATTTCAAAACTTAAAGAACTTCTTTTATTTGTTTTTGCAATGGTGTGATTGCTTCTTTTTTAGCAGATTACCTTGTGTCACTGTTTTTCTTTAATAAGATGGTCAATACTTTCATTAGTGCTTCCTATCTTAATGTAGAAAATGAAAAAACGTTAAAGATGGCTTGAACTTCTCCAAAAAATGTAATCATGGGTGGGGAAACCTCAGCAGCATGGATACCAACAAGATTTAAAGTGTGAGCTGCACAAGGAACAAAACTTGCTAACAAAGAGAATGGATGTGAGCTTGGACGCCATTGTATTTTCCAGACATATTAGCTCCATTGTCAAAACCTTGGCCGCTGCAATCAGAATCTTTAAACCAACTTTCTCTAATTTTTCAGTGATCTCTGTTGCAAAACTTTTTCCGATTTTTTTGTGGCATTCAATAAAATCAACAAAGCTTTCCTAAATTATGCAGTTTTCATCATTGATGCGGACATACCTAATTATTTGGGTAATCTGATTTTAAATAGGAGGAATATAGAGTCCAGTCAAACAAAACAGAGTAGTATTTAGCTTCTTTAATTTAATGTTTGACAATATTTCATTTCTGACTTTTTGCCCAAGTAACTTAATCATCTCATTTTGTATTCGAGGAGAAAAGTAGGACGTTGTAGTTTTCTTTGCTTTAACAGATGCAATGTGTTCAGCCACTAAAGGATAATAATTGCTTATTAGATCAATCAAGATCAGAAAAACGCCACTGCTTTGTCGACCGATGACTTGATGTTGTGCCCCGAAGGGCAAAATTGTTTCTAGCACAGAAGTAAAATTACAGAAATAATCACTTTTTTACTCTCTTTCTCTTTAAAAAGAAATAAAAAAGTGTCTCTCCAATTTTTCATTTCTCCATTGATAACTCTCTGCAGATCAGAATCCATGGTCTTTTCTTCTTCAAGTTTTTTTTTTGAGAGTTTTCCAAATAGAATAGCATCTTTGGTGTTCATTGCTGTTTTCATGTTCAGGAACTCTTGAGTTTAGTTTTTTCAAGACACAAAATCTTTTAAAATTTCTGAGAAATTGTTGGTTTTTGCCGTTGAAAATAACAAACAGCAAAAACAAAATAATTAATCTTTTTTATTGCTGTACAGCAACTAATTGTGATCAAATTTTTTACCATTGGGATTAATTTTTAATACCATTTTGTGCTGAAGTGTTGCTTTTTGTTGTCAAAATCACACAGCGTGTATGGGAAAAATTATCTTCTTTCTTGCTCTGGCCCATGTTGAGTCAAAAAGATTCTTATATTGTCCGTTAGTTTAAGCCATGTTGCTGGTTCCCTCTATTGAAAGATTTATCCTAAAGTTGGCTGAATATCTGATATTTCTGAAAGAAGTTCATTGTGATCCATTTCAGCCCCGTAAGAAAGCTGGATATTTCCATACTCTCTTGTTGTTTCTGAACTATTTGTGCAAAATTCTTCTTGACTATGGCTAATGAAAATCTCCTCTTCAATTAATTTCAAATTATGATCTGAACTTAGGTCATTAATTCGAAATGTTTGAAAAACTTTATCTGTTGAACTTTCATTAATTTCAATACTAATATTCTCTGAAATAATTTTGTTTTTCCTCTGCAGAGTTAGTTACCAACTACTTCTTGAAACAATATTGTAGTTTCTCATCACTTTCTAGGCGCTGTTCTTAAATTTTTTTTTTTTTTTGTTTTGTTTTTATTCAACCATATCAATAAAATTTACAAATTTCATCGTAAATTAATATAAATTGGTTAGGTGTCACTCATATAGTTACAAGTTAGTCAATGAAGTGACACCTAAAAAATTTAAAAATTTCACGAAAAAATAAATAAATAAATAGAAATAAAAAAAAAAAAAAACATAAGGAAAAACTCAACATCTGTATATATAAATAATAGAGAAAAGAAATAAAGATTGTTAAACAAATAATAATGATATATGTAATGATAATAGTAATAATACAAAATAATAACAATAATAATAAAGTACCAATAATATTAAGAATATTATAATACAATATAAATTGTATGTACAAATCATAGATGATAATTAGATATAATAATCACATAATATGTAACATTAATAACACAATAATAAATAAATATAAGATAGGTAAATAATAAATAAAATAAAAATCAAACCACTTGTTCGTTAAAGAGATTATATATTGAAGACAACTACAGTACAGAGAGAAATTATAAAGAAATACACTCCAACAATATATTTTTAAATTGAATTCTGTTGAGCAGTAAAAAATTCGTAACAAGTGGGTATTTTTTCTTAGACTTTTTTATTAATGCAGGAATACACTGGTTCCATTGAGAAATACATTGTTGTTTTATGAAAAACTTACCATATTTGATTATGGTGGAAAAAGAATAGTGTAGCTTACTATTTTCTGTATTCTTGGTGTGATGATTATGAACTTCGTTTGTTTTAATAAAAAAATATGAAAAAGGGCTTGGTATTTTATTTTGGAGAAAGTCAAACTTAAAAAGACAATTGTAAAACTTTACAAGATTATGGAGTTTTAGGATTTTTAGTTCAGAAATTTTTTTTCGATATCAGATCTCATTGGGGAAAACGTAGTTATTCTAATAGATGCGCGTTGTAAACTAGCAATGTTATTAAGTAAAAAGTTTCTTTTTTGACCCCAAACAATACAACAATAGCAAAGGTGAGAAGAGAATAAAGAAAAATAAATCATTCGAAGAGTTTGGATTTTTGATTAAATTGAGCGCCAGATAATTTTTTGGTACGATTCATTATAGAAACTTAATGTTCACTATTTGATACTTAATGTTCACTAGTTGATAAACATATATGTTTTAACTAAGTTTTGAAAACTAATAATACGTTTTTTTTACGTTAATAATACGTTTTTTTTACGTTAATGATACGTTTTTTTTTACGTTAATAATTTGTTTTTTTACGTTAATAATGCGTTTTTTGCAATCTAAAAAATGATCCTAATGAAATGTGATTTTACCATTTTTTTCTTTTTAAGGATTTCTTATGCTTATAAAATAAAGTATATAATCGATTTTGTAAAATGATTTAAAGTTATTACTTATGATGGGACAGTTAATTGAAAAGTCCCATACTTTTCAATTAACTGCCCCATAATAAGTAATAACTTTAAATCATTTTACAAAATCGATTATAAACTTTATGGACAGTGTCCATATAGACTCAAAATATGACAAATATAAATAAAAATTAATATTGAATGCACTGAATAAAAAGAAAAAGAAAATTTTAAAAACATATATAAATTATTTTATAGTTAAAGGGCGCTCTTCTGCTGAAGAAGAGCGCCCTTTAACACAAACTTCAACTAAAACATAAACTTACATAACCTCCAACTTATAAAACATAAACTTACATAACCTCCAACCTTTAATACATAAACTTTCATAAACTCCAACTTATAATACATAAACGTAAATAAACTTCAACTTATAAAAACTTATTTACTGAACTGCTCAGTATATAAGCTTTTATAAGTTGGAGTTTATGTAAAGAGAAGCAATTTTTATTAGTTTTTTTATCAACTTCAAAGACATGACATAAAAACTGGTTTACAAATAATATTCATTTTCTTTTACTTATTTATTTTTTTAATTTAATTTACTTTTAATTTATACTTCTGGAACTTTGCGCTCTTCTAAGTTCGGCGCCTGGGGAAGGGGAGGGGGTAGTATTCCTTAAAAAGTACCGACTGGCTTCTTAAAAAAAAAAAGTCTTTAAAATTAAAACTTACCCGCCTAAATTGTATCGAGTACCTAATTAGCCAACTAAATTCCGACTACAAATAAAAACCGACTATAACTTGAAAATCACTTTCTTTCGGGGATGGGGGATAACACCCATCTCTCTCCACACACACACAAACACACACGCACGCGTAAAATCTCTCTCTCTCTCTCTCTCTCTCTCTCTCTATATATATATATATATATATATATATATATATATATATATATATATATATATATATATATATATATATATATATATATATATATATATATATATATGTATATATATATATATATATATATATATATATATGATAAAAAAATAAATATAAATAAATGATAAACAAAAAAAATTATTTTAGTATAAAAGCAGCTTGCTACGTTTCAAAAAGTTATGGAAAGTTATGGGCAGGTTACTTTTTTATTAATAATTTACAATTTAGAAATAATTTTAATATTGATAGCTGTTTATTTTTTACTTATGTTAAACACGTACGTATTTACATTTTTGGTGAATTATAAACTCCTTGTTATTCAAACCTCTTAGGGAAGTTAGAATATACTTCGAATAACCGAAAGTTCGAATAACTGAAAATCTTCTTTAAAGTGACCTATTTCAAGTTACTATCAAATTTTAATAGAAAAAAGGAGTAAAAAATAAAAACTTTTTACAGTTATAACTTTTTTAGCATTTTTTTTTCTTCTTATTTATATAAATCTTCCAAATGCCTCTAATATCTTTAAAACTATAATGTTTGCCGAGGACACAAACTTATTTTACTCAGCAAAGACAATCGAAGACCTTTTTGAAAAAAGAAGTGCTGAACTAAATAAAATTAATTTATGGTTTAAATCAAATAAACTGTTACTCAATATAGAAACAACTAAGTACATACTATTTCATTCTAATCAACAAATTGAAAAAATAGCCCCCAACCTACCAACACTTAATATAGAAAATATTATCATCAAAAGAGTTCTGAATACAAAGTTTTTAGGAGTTCTAATTGACAAACATATCTCCTGGAAACCCCACATAAACTACATTAACACAAAAATATCAAAGAACATTAGTCTACTATACAAGGCAGGACCATTTTTGTCACAAAAAAAGTCTAAAACTTGTCTACTTTTCATTCATACATAGCTACCTGATGTATGACCATATATTGCATGGGGCAGTACCCACAAATCTAAATTAGAACCACTTTACCTACGTCGAAAACACGCTTTAAGACTAGTATACAACAAAAATAAATTTGCTCAAGTTCAACCCTTATTGGAACAAATGAACGCAATAACTATACTTCAAATAAATATTTTTCAAAATATACTTTTCATGTTTAAATATAAACTAAATCTAGTTCCAAAACATTTAACAGTACACTTTTTTATAAAACTGTTACTGCAAGAAAGAACAGCAGGTTTAACTCTATGTCAGTGCCGGATCAAGGGGGAGCTAAGGGAGACTATAGCCCCGAGCCCCGCAAATTTAGGGGCCCCCAAAATTTTCAGAGATCCTTTTTTTTTTTTTTTTTAAGCCATTTTTAGGCTCTGGCCCATAAAAAAGCCCCCAAAATCAAAAATAGCCCGCGCCCCAAGAAGTCTTAATCCGCCACTGTTCTATGTAGAGTTTTTCAAAAAAAGGTTTATCTTCGTGTGGCCACTTAAAGATAAACATTCTTATGAAGTGTAACTTTCGTAATTTACAGTGTGAAAAGTTATATTTGTAAGTTCTCGATTTAGTTTTATATATAAGTCTGGTCATTTTTTTATATAAGTTTTGCTCTTTGTTTGACGAATTTACTCGCCAATGCGATGATGAATTTACTCGATGATGAATTTATAATTGATGATGAATTTACAATATACATGATAATGATAATAATATACATGATGATGAATTTACAATTTACAATTGGTGAATTTACGATACAATGATGAGTTTACAATTCATGAATTTACTCGCCAGTTTTCAGAGCAAGTTCATATAAAATTAATAAGAACGCCAGGTTTTTAAAGTAACAAAAAACTTTGGTTTTTGTTACTTTAAAAACATGTTTTCGCTTTTTATTACTGTTGAGATCACGTGATATAATAATTAATATATGATTGGTTTTCGCTTATAGTGATTCGCAAAAAGTCGAAATGAATTCGACTTTTTTTTTCGCTGGAGCGAAACGCTGTAGCGAAAAAAAAAATCAGCATAATCGCCTAAAATGTAATCAGCACCTGCTTATCGACGAAAAAAATTCGCTTCGCGCCAATATTTCGTCTCGTGAAAAAAACGGCCTTAAAATAAAAATAGTTTTTATAAAATTATATAATGGCGTCAGTTAAAATTTTTTAAAGTTTAAACTCTGCAAGTTCTTTTGTTTTTATTCATTATATTTTCACCTTTAAATTTTCTATGCTTTTTTTAAGAAGATTTTTCGTTTGTATCTTCAAGTTTTTTGTATTTTACTTCTTTTTTTGTGAATCTCTTCGCCGTAAAAAGCAGTAAAAAAATCTTTTAAAATCATTCTCTTGTTATACGATATATATGTTTAATGAGTTTGATGAGTTATAAACTTTAAATAAAATTATATTTCCAAATGCAACGTATTGGTATCTTGAACCGGAGGAAATATTTTGACTAAGGGAGCACAAAATTACTTCGAATATGCGAAATTTCGAAAAAAAGTGGGGAGGTAGCATGTGCCCTCCCCCCGGCCCGTGGTGTCGTTGACCCTGTCTGTCTCTTATGTTAGGGTGGGGTAATCTAAGCCTTTTTTTAAGCTATTTTTGATATTGAACAAAAAATATAGCAAAACAATTAATCATTAATTGCAAACTTTATAGTCACAAGCTCATTCGTTTGCCTGTGACTATAAAGTTTGTAATTAATAAAACAAATTCACAACGAGAGGTAATTCACTGTTATTTAGAGTGGTAGCCCTCTAAGATCATAGTTTCAGGCAGGAGGTAATCCATTGTTGTTTAGTGTGGTAGCTCTACTTTCAAGAGAAGAAGAAAAAAAACTTTTAAAACTGACATTTTATTGTGTTTAAAAAAGTAACTATAAAAAATCCGAAAAAACATTTAATCAGTCTATAAAAATTTAAAAAAAAAATTTAATCAGTATTTTACCAATATCGTGCATAAGTTGAACTGATATTACTAAAATGAGAGCAATACAGCATTAAAGGATATAATAGATAAATTTTGCAAAGCCACTAAAATTTCTGTTCCTTTTTGAACTTCAGGCAGAAAAGTTAGCGCAACAGATTTACGAATTATATCAAGAATATATAAAAATCAATTAAATGAATTAAAGAAAAAAAAACCGCTACCACACCTGCATTATTTTGGAGTAACTTTCCTTAGCCCACATATTTGCCCAAATCACTCGAACAAATTGCTGTAGTTAAAGCAATAACTGAAATTAACAACGATATGTCAAAAAAAGAAAAAAATATAATTTTTTATTGCCTTGCTGAAAACAAATCAACTGACCCACTAGAACGTACTAATGTTGATAAAACCAGCACAACAAACTAACTTGGTTCAATAGTAGTAAACACTGAAAGAATTAGAAGAAAAATCCGATTCAAAAGTCAAAATTCAAACGAAGCAGAGAATAAACCAACTCCCATTCTAGTAGAATTTGATAATAACATAGATCGCTCTAACGCATTAAATTTTACAAAAGGACAAAGAAAGACAAGTATATATTAGTGCAGATTCATTTCCAATGAAGCGAGAAAATAGGAAAAAACTTATTGATGAGAGAAATGATAAAAATAATAAATTAAAATGATCGAATCAAGAAAACAAATTTAAATTCATTTTAAAAGAAGATTCACTAATCAAAGTTAACCTTGAAGGGAGGCAAACTAATACCAACTAGTAATTCAAAAACATATATATAAATGCAAGAGCTTCGAACAATCGCCCTTCATCATAATTTCGACTTTGCTTTCATCACATATTTACAAACACATCCGTTCCTTAAATTACCAACTATGAGTTATTTGTAGTAGTGGTAGTGGTAGTCGTCGTGGTGGAGTAGCCATATATGTTAATTCAAAATATATACAGGGATGTATATACAGGCCCAATAAATCTCGATGCACAGGACAATCTTCAAACTTATCTAACCACTACGAGAGACAAAAAAGTGTATGAATTCTTCTATGAAGCTACCTCTTGACTAAAAGTTTTGATCGGGTAATGATTGCAGGCGATTATGCTGACATCAAATGGGACGAGGAATGTAACCCATTCAATTCAAACAGTTTTGAAAACGAATGAAATTTTATCAATACCGTTAATGATTGTCATTTTATTCAACACGTAAATTAAATGCTATAAAAACACCGAAGATCTGCCTTTAATTGATCTAACATTTACTGAAATGAAAGAATGAATATCAGAGAAATCTCCGGGACCAACGCTTGGCAACATTATATATGAACATTTGTATAATATGGGAATATACGACTCAAAATAATCAATCTTTTCATCGTTTCTCTAACCACCGTCACAATTACGCTAAAAGTGATTATAAGAATCAAAGACTATATATAGATGGCATAAATTGGTCAACTTGAATCTTGCAATTGTATTCCATTTTTTTACGAATAATTCTTATTAATATACGAAGAAGCATATCGATCATATATCCCTATTAAAACACTAAATAAGCAAAAAATAAACAGACCAAAATGGTTTGATTCATATACAAAAAAACTTGTTCAGGACAAACATCGTGCATGGTTCAAATTTCGAATAGTATCTAAGATGTCAAACACAACAAACAGCGTAATTGAAAAAAAAAGAATATAAAGAATAAGAAATTGCAATTTGAATTGTCATTAATAAGTAAGATAAAAAACGAACCTAAAAACTTCTTTTTGTAAGTTAAATCGAAACTAAAATTAAACTCGAGTGTCAATTCAATACAAGACAAACACAGCAATTTAATTACCAACAAAACGACAATAGCTAATATATTTAACATACACTTTTAATCAGTCTTCACAAGTAATATGAATAATGAGCTTCCTGAATTCGAGAACCGATCCTTAACTCTAGCAAACGATAACGCAGATCTTCTTTTATGTGAAACCTTAATATTACAGAAACTAGAAAATTTAAATATTTACAAATCGACTGGAATTGATGGCGTAAGTCCATACGTTCTCTAAAACTGTGCAACATAACTTTGCATTCCACTAAAAATAACTTTCGTGAAAAGTTTCAATTTAAGTTCATTACCGAGGCAATGAAGCCAGGCAAATGTTACTTCACTACACTAAAGTGGAAGTCGACTTATCGCATGTTTTTACAGGCCAATATCGCTCATATCAGTCATAAGTAAACTAATGGAAAGTATAATTCGTGACTTGATGATAAAACATCTAATAACAA